GAAAAGATACAGGAAAGATAAAGAATAATTTAGTACACAGCATCGTCCTTTTTATCCTGTAATATTGGCCAATGGACGTTGCTAACTTCAACTACCAATTTTGTAAAAATCTTGAACTTCATCCAAATTATGTATTATTTTCAAGGCAGCTAAATTCAAGTGCAACATATACATTGAGCTGCAAAAGTTTCTTATCATCTACATCCGATTTCACCTGGATAGATGCACGCTTGATAAAGCTAGTTAGTCTAGCGAAATATTGCGTTTATTTTCATCATTTTGTAAATATTTTAACATTCTTATATTTACATACTAAATAGTGTGTTAAAATTACATTGTTAGGCAATCTATATATATATATATATATATATATATATATATATATATATATATATATATACACACACAGATTGAAAAGGGGGCCTAGATAAAATGTAAGTGTACTTATATTGTATAAATTTGTATTCTCATTGTTAGACCTCATGATGTAATGAATCTAACAAATAAACTATGAATCAAAAGCATTAAAGAAAATAAGATTTATTTGGCTGTAAATTTGTCATGGCATTTATTGCAACAAAGAAACACAACCAACTTGTCAATCAAAACTTGATGACGATTGAATTACTGAAGGGCGATCCAGCAGTAAAAAAGTTATATCAGGAGCCACTGGGTAATCCATAGCAGCTTAAAGTAAATTCGGCCAAAATTGCCAGTTGAGTAACTAGTTGCGCAACTGGTAATCCGCCATAAAATTTACCGCATAACAAATTTAACAGCAAGAATCAACAAATTTCAAATAACATCAACATCAAAATAAACATCATTATCAACTTCAACATCAACTTCAACTTCAACATCATTATCAACATAAATTCAATACTGTCAACGTCATTAAAATTTTAATTGATAAATCAGCATCAACATCAACTTCAACTTAAATTCAATACTGTCAACGTCATTAAAATTTTAATTGATAAACTGAATAGTTAAAACAACATCTAAGCTATTTTATTCATTGTAAGGGAAAACCAAACAATGAGGAAATTTAAAAAACATTTCCAGAGCTCCTTGAATCTGATTTAGGAATATATCATTGCCGATGAAAGAAAGATGCACCCCATCGTCACTAAAAAGGCCAACATGTTTATCCTCAAAATCTGTGTGTTTTATAACGTATCCTCCTATTGTCGGCAAATATGAACGCATCCCCCTATTTATTCTGCGTCTAGTAGTTTCCATAGCTCCAGTGTTATTGGAGAACCTCCATTTAAATCTAGGTAAAATACTTGACCACACTAATGCAGTGTCAGGTAACATCTTTGAGAGAATGGCTATGGTAAACTTCATATGGTAGAGTAATTCTCCACATGGTGTGTCCCCAATGTCATTACCCCCACAGTGAATAATAACAGCAAACGGAATACTTCTCCAATTAATAATACTTTGTACCAAACTAACCAAATTCTGCCATTTCATACCCGACATACCGATCCGAACTAACTGACATCCAATTTTCTCTAATCCAAGCGATGCACCTATAGGCCTAATATGAGCGTGATCACTTGCTCTTGTGACAATTGAAGAGCCAATTACCCAAATATCTTTCTGGTACCCTGAAATTAAGTGATTTGGTGCTATACGAGGTTTGTTCTTATATAACCTTTGTAAGCAGCTGATTTCCATCGACCTTTCAATTTAATACTATTTTCATCTTAACCATCAAGAAAAGACTGTGTTGCAGCTCCAATACGTAAAGAATGTGTATAAAATTCAGAAGGATTGTAACCTAAAAAAGCAAGGGTTTTCTTTAAAATATTAGAAAACTGGTACCTCGTTAGAGTTTTTTCGTTTGCATGACAAAATAAATGTCCATCATCTTTATGTCTCATGGCAATATAGTCAGACATCAACTGAACAGGACAAATCGAACTAGTTTTATTCCTTTCCAGAATGATCGTGACTGAATTATCCAGCTGATCAGTTTTAGAAGAAGGAACTACTATATTAAGTGACCCTGAATTAGTATCAATTGTTATATTGGATCGTTTTACAATATGATTCTCATTAAAATTTGATTTTGCAATTTCTCCAACACGAAGAAATCCAAAAAATGCAACTGAAAATGAAGCTTTAAATAAACATGTTTCATATACTGAATAACAAACTAACTTCAGTGCATCTAAAAGTCTAGTTAATATATTAATAGTAATAGGCTTACGACAGTCGTGTCCATTAAACCATTAATCTTATGATAAAAACTAATGCACAAAAGGTACGCTTTCACAGTGGAATAAGAATATTCTTCCTTAAACATGTAAGCTATATGATTAACTAAATGTGAAACAGGACATGGCCATACGTCATTCAAATTTAGTTTATGTTTTAAGTTTTGAAATGAATTTAGTCCATTTTGATACGTAAGCCAAGTATTTGAAGAATTTGAGGCTTCTCTTAGGCTCAACACTTCTGGTCTAAAATTGTCCAAAAGTCCGCTGGAACTAAAGTGAGAGATTAAATCAGCAAAAACATTTTTATAACCAGGAATATGAACGGTTTTAATGTGAAAACTACCCAGCAAGGACCACAATACGATATGTCTAACAAGTGACATAACACGAGGTGATTTTGATGAGCAGGAATTAATAATTTTTACAACAGACTGGTTATCTGAATGAAACATAATTTTCTTTCTTTGCCATAAGCTACCCCACAAATAAATAGCTAATGCGATGGGGATCATTTCTAAATAAGTAATGTCTCTGAAAACGTCTTCCTTTTCCAAGCTAAATATGACCATTTCCCATTAAAATATATACCACATCCGCCTCCTATTCCCCCAGCACTATCGGTAAAGAGATTTAAAACAGAACTTGACAACCACTCGTCGTCCAAAATATAAGAAATCCCATTATAATTTTCTAAAAAGATTTTCCAAATTGAAATATCATTCAAAATATCTTTTGATATTCTGATTAAGTGATGCGGTTTTTTTCCCTCTCTGACAAGCAATATATAAACGTCTGCTGAAAGCACGTCCAGCTGGTAAAGCCCTGGCACAAAAAAGCCAATGAACCACATAAAGATTGTAATTGTTTTAACGTTATCTTTTTACGATTACTGGTATCTTTCAACTTTTGAAGCAATTCAATTATTTTGTTTTTTCGGATTTGAATTTGCATATTTTCTGTGTCAACTGTTAAACCTAGATATGGTATTCTCGTGCTTGGCCCTTCAGTTTTGTCCTCAGCTAACGCAACCCCTAATTCAACACATACATTGCAAAACGTGCTCATTAATTTCCGACAGTTGTCGGTATTTTCCGCTCCAGCAAATAAAAAATCATCTAGATAGTTATCAATATCACTAAGTCCCGATTTTCTCTCTACGGCCCAGTGCAAAAATGATGAAAATCGATTAAAATGACTACAGGACACCGATAACCCCAACGAAATACCAATCTTCAATTTTAAAGCCCAATAAATCAAACTCACCAGGAAACATTGGCAATAATCAGAAGGCGGACTTTATATCCATTTTTGCAATTTCCGCTTTAAAACCTAGCTTTTTTATCATGTTTACTGCATTGTCAAAAATTGAATATTTTACTGAAGTATAGAATTCATCGATAAAATCATTGACACCGCCATTAGCTGGTGAAGACAAATGCGTTATTAAACGAAAACCACCCGTTTTCTTAGGCACAATGCCAATGGGAGAAACTCGTAGATTTGAAATAGGTCGATAATAAAAGGGGCCCGCAATTCTGCCATTTTCCACTTCACCCATGACTTTTCTCCAAGCTAAACTTGGATCTTGTAAAACAGACTTTAAATTTTTGCTTTCATAAGCAACCCTTGGGCCTGTATAATGTGTTCGAAAACCATATTTAAAACCATTATATAATATATTTGCCGATATTTTATCGGGGTAGTCTTTCAACATATTCCCTAAAACCGTAGTATTAATAGGGGTAAAACCCAAACACCAAATAGCATACTGTTGATTGAAAGCTGTAAAAAATTAAAATTTGAAAATATTAAAATTGCATCCGTGGAACGTTTGCCTGGTGACCAGGAAATCTATAATTATTTATTGAAAAACGAGTATTTTGGTTAAAATTTCTATGTGGATTCAAAAACCTATTTGACTGCGTTGTAGCTCTAGCACTGGACTGATACCTTGGTGCAAAATTGTGTGTAACAGGTGCCCTAGGGTAATTTTGATACCTAGGAGCAGAATAGTGCGAAGTTACAGAACTTCGAGGATTATTCTTGTTATATGAATAATTTGTACAGTACATTAAAGGATGGAACTGGCTACATCTTATACAGGAATAGCTGTATACACAATTCATACGAGTACAAACGCCCTTAAAATTATAATCGTAGCAAGGTTTGTTAACTGTGTGAGAAGTATAAGAAGATGTCTGTTGAACATGATTTATGCCTACTGCAATAAACTGAAGCCATAGCTGCCCATCAATGCCGTCCCATGCACGCATATGATCTCGAGCTTTTCTAAGTCGAAATTGCTTGTCATATTTATAAACGTTCTCAAAAGGTACACTAGCCCCCCTAATAATAGTCATGTAGCTAATCAATTCATTTGCCAAATCCGGAAATCTTTGTAATAAAATTTTCATATAATTTAAAAAACCTTCAGTCCACTCACCAATGTTAGCTAATGATTTTACTTTTGAATATTTGTTTCTTTCAATTAAAATGTCCCCATCTTCATCAAAACCTAGCATTTTTTTTCGGTTGATCAATATTTGAAACAAATTTTTTGTACAGTAATTGGGCCAAATCAACATATTCTAAATTCCAAATTTGGTTTATAATTTTTTGTGGTACAAACACATCAACATCATTACTAGTAGGTATAATTAAAATCTCACCATTTTGTACAGTATTACGAGATGTGGGCTGCCCTGGCTGTACACATCCCTGACCCGGAACTCGTTCAGTGGGCTGCTGGGGGACGTCTTGAGTTCCAACCTGTTGTGGTGGTGGAATTGGCTGTTGTGGCAATAACTGATGTGGTGGCATTAATGGCTGTTGTGGTGGCATTAATGGCTGTTGTGGTGGCATTAATGGCTGTTGTGGTTACGGCTGTTGTGGATTGACTGAATTTTGTCCAATAATTTCAGCTCTCCTTGTGCGACGCCTTCTGTTTACCGGTAGCTGTACATGATTTTCCTGCCTGCGTGCATCACGATTTGGCAGCACCCTCTTCCCTTTTCCTCTCGGCTTACTGGCTTAAACAAATAATTACAATGTTAGTCAATGCATTAGTAAAAAATTCCATCATTTGTCAATGTTACATCCCTAAATTAAACAATTGAATCAATATGAAAAAACAAATATTTCAATATGTTCATTGACTAATTAGTATTAAGATACAATGTCAATAACCACGTAGAAAAAACGAAAGCGCAAAAACTTGACTGTTGCTGTCAATGTCCAGTGGCAGATATTTCAAGTATATTCATAATGATAATATCAAACATATGATAACGAAAGTCATAAAAGAAATAATTGAGGTATCCACCAAATATCAAATGAAGTGGCCTTCATCAATGAGAAATTTTCATACCCTATAATCGGCTATAAAACATGAAAACTATGAAACAATTCAATCGAAAAGTATATCTATTTAAATTTATTAACTATTATCCTTGATGACTAGCAATAGTTTACGAAAATAATGATTGATTGATGGTTGCTTAACGTCCAGTGGCACCTATTTCATGCATATTTAGGACGAAAAAGAAATTAAATATACATTTATGTTGAAATTGATATATGGCGTACTCACCGGTTATTTAGTACTGCACGATTTGGATTTGGATTAAAATTAAATAACATGGGAAATGTTCATTAGCATATTAAGACAGTTAAGTTATAGATATTTCATATCTTTTGAATAGTTTTGTGGTGTTTCGTAAATTATACCATAGCTTTTGTTGAAACCCCCGGCAATAACCTCACGAGACGAAGTCGAGTGAGGTTGCCGAGGGGTTTCAACAAAAAACTATGGTATAATTTACGAAACACCACAAAACTAACCAAAATATATGAAATATCTGTTTTAACCTATTGCATATGTTGTTGTTTAAATATGTGTATTTCATATATTTTTGTTTATTAACTTCAAAAATAATTTTGATAAGAATCGGTCAAATTACCCTTTTAGGACCTTACACATTAAGCTCCGCCTACTTTCTAAAATACGCACGGGCTTCTGAAACAGCGGGAAAATCAGTTGGACAGGATTTTTCGACAGCGATGGATGCACATCTACATTGGTGACGGGTAACTTTACAGACTAAAAACTGTTGAAGGAATTATATGTTCTGCATATGGACGCAAGATATAGTTTGAAAGATTTCTGGAACCCAGATTTAAAGTTGAACTGCAAAGGGTTAGTATTTTTTTATTTTATCAAAATATTTGAAATGTTTTTAAGTTTTTGATATTAATTTATAATTCTGTGGAATTTTAATTCACAAGAATCTTTCTGAGAGTCTGAATGAATCGTTCCATGTTTTAATTTGTACCAGAAGCCCAAGTTGTACATTTAATTTAATTTAATTCAAAGGGATTTCAAAATGATCACGATTAAAGATCATTAAAAATCACATGTTGACTATAGATAATTTAAACAAAAAGTTCACCTTTATTTAGAGTAACCAGACGCTTTCTATTCTTAACGGCCCAACATTATAGTTATTACTTAAGCAAATCGTTAAATTAAGATGTATATAAAATCGGATACGGATCCAGGATTTTGAAAAGGAGGGGGAGTCTAGCCATCCAACATTTGGAGTAATAATACGAAATATCTATGCATTTACCATAGAATAGAATAGAATATTTTTATTTCCCAAATTACAGGGCCCATAAAGGGCATAAAATCAGATACAATTGATTTACATAATTGGTAACAACAACAATAATAGTCACTTGTAAATATATATTTAGTATATTAGCATTGGTCAGAATCAGAGCCAAAAACCACATATATATTGTGAATAAATATATAAAGCTTCTTGAAAGGGGCATGCCTTCCCCCTCCCTCCCCCTTAAAAAGCCGCCACGGCAAATTTCAACCTTTACATGTAGCTATACAGTTGAGCCTAAGGGACTACAATCCAAGTATACATCTCAATAACCGAAAATCGAATTATATTTTCAAGTATAATATAATAATATATTTATATATACTTTTTTTTTAAACTTTGTTCTTGAATCGAATTTTCGTTCATTTAAAAATATAGGACAACGGAGTTGGTGTATGTGGGTTCGATTCCCACCCTAGGCATTCATTTATTTCGGCTGGTGCAAAGCGGGCAGTTTAGCTTAGTGGCCCCACTCTGACTCTGTTGTTCCTATTTCAAAGAATTCAATCGGCCACGGATAGGCCTTGCTATCTTTCATTTTTTCTTTTCAAATACCAAATACAACAAAACCATGGTATAATTGTGAAAATTATACCATAGATAGCTATGGTATAATTATCGGTTATTGAGATTTATACTCGTGTTGCATTCCCATAGGTTACATTGTACAGCTATAGGTTAAACAATTAGTTATAACAACTCGCACCATAATTATAACTATCTACTCAATTTACAAATAAAAATATAAAATAATATCCAAGAAAAGATTATCGACAATTCACGCAATAACAAAATTTAAATTCAATTATATTACACCAAAGAAAAAGTTAACGACTATTTAAAGCATTTAACAAAGTTAAAATTATCAAATAAATGAAATACAAATTTAACAGTTTAAATTATTGAGCTACTATTCTTTATAAAACATTGCTTAATTCTAAAACTAAAAATAAAAATAAAAATACTCATCTTTTTTCTGTGTAGAATTTAGTTTTAAATTTTTAAATTCTATAGCTTTGGTCAAGCTCCGTGTAAGGTTTGAATCCAAATGACCAAATCACATGAGGTAAATTGCACGGACTAACATTTCGCGGGCTAAACTAATTAGCATATGAAAGTGACCAGTAAAAAATGAATCGAACACACCGTCAATTAAAATCATACCAAGTTATATAATTACAATAACTGAATTTAATTATTATTAATTCTATTATTTGTACTGTTGAAATTAGTGGTTATGTTATAATAAATAATTATCTACTTTGAGCGATGTATTATTGTTGACCATGCGAGATTCTTTTCGGCTTACCCATCAGCTGATTGCGTGATTTTTATTTAATATTATTCGCCTCAAAGGTAAAATAACAGAAATATATTTTAAATCGAAAATAAATGCAATAAATGTGAGTTTTTCTGTCTTTCAAAGCAAAAACAATGTACAAACTCAATTGCAGGATAAAGACAATAACTGTTTTTAAATATCAGCTGTATTTGTACTCGTCTCGAAACAGGAGAAATAGCTCACTGAAGCTCGCATTACACCTGTTTCTTAGCCTCGTACAAATACAGCTGATATTTAAAGACACTATACAGTTATTGTCTATTTATCCTGCTGAACTGACTTGAAATAAATACTAACAACGAACACTGCCCTTTCCTGGATCTTGATATCACTCATAGGGTCTTTGAATCGGAAATAAACACATTTATTCTAAAACCAGTTATTGGAATGATACGGGTTATGTTCTTCTCATATATTTTATGATGGTATGATACTAAACCCCTAACGGGAGGATTGTGCTTGATTTTCATATGATGAAGACATAATCTTTCAATCATTTGAAATGAGGTCTTGAGCCGACATGCCATTAACTGCTAGTGGTCCTTTGTAAATTTATGTATCATTGTCATTTTGCTTAATTTTTTCTATCACCTATTCTAACATCGGGTTCGGACTTCTTTTTAACTGAGTTTTTCTGTGCGTATTGCTGTGTGTTTGTTTATTCTACATTGGCTAGAGGTATAGGGGGAGGGTTGAGATCTCACGAAACATGTTTAACCCCGCTGCAATGTCGCGCCTGTTCTTAGTCAGGAGCCTCTGGCCTTTGTTAGTCTTGTACATTTTTTTTAATTTTGGTTCATTTAAATGTTTTGGAGTTTGGTGTGACGTCCATTTTTGCTGAACTAGTACACATGTTTGTTTAGGGGCCAGCTGAAGCCCGTCTCCGGGTGCGAGATTTTCTCGCTGTGTTGAAGACCCTTGGTGTCCTTGGGCTGTTTTTTTGCTCTTTTGTCGGGTTGTTGTCTCTTTAACACATTCTCCGTTTCCATTCTCAATTTTATTTAATAAATAAAATATCAGATGAAAGGTCATGGACTCGTGATACTTGTAGAACACATATTGACTGATAATTTCGAATACTACAAAAATGAATGAATGAAATCTAAAATAGAGGGGAAATATTGCATGTTTCTAGGATATGAAGTTCCTGGTTTGGTGTACCGAAAAGTCCGGTAACTAGTACGGTATGATGTATAAATAACGGTATATTGATCCCGCCCTCATAAAATGTTAAGAAGTGAAAAATTACTGTATATCATATACGTGGAAGGGCTTATCAATATTCAGAATGCTAGCAACAAAGCATACTAGATTAAGTACACATTCATTTTTTTCATCATACTTTATTGAAAATTTGAACATTTCTTAGTTAGATACAGAAAGTACCGGCACCTTATCCCGGCCTTATTAACATTAGATTCTATATTTAATAGAACTAGTTAGTAATTGCTAGTATTATTCTAAATTCTCAAATATACATTACTATATCATTATGTATCCATTATTTCCACAGTATTGTTCAATAAAGAGAGAACTATATTTTAGAGAAAAAGAAAAGACGGAAGAGAAAATAATGAATAAATAAAAAAACAAAACCATAAGGCTAAACAATAAACACAGTAACATTACGTAAGGTAATGCTAAGTTGTTTTAGTATAAATTATTCTAGTAATTGAAGCCAAGGGTCCAAGCAGAAATTGGCAATGTAAAGAGGTTTGATTTTAAAAAATATATTCTTTTCTAGTATTAGATTTTCTTTGAGATACTTTGTGAGCCTTGTAAGATTTACTTGATTTTCACATAGTTCTGTTCTATAAATAAAGAACTTTGATAAAAGTATTATTTTGTTTTTTTATTTTATTATTTCCTGTTTTTTCAAATAAAAGTTTCCAAATAAAATTATATCCATGTTAAACGGAATTATTATTTGTGTTTGGTTATAAATCCAGTCACCGAGTCTTATCTTCAGATCTGCTATTTTATGGCATGTTCAAAATATGTGTTCAATACATTCAATAGCTTCATTGCAGAAAGTGCATTTATCGCTTTGTTTTATTTTAATTTTAAATAAAAAATTAGCTCAATATTCTGTGTTTTATTCTATACTTGAACCAATGAAGTTTTGTGTTTTTTTTGTGTAAAACGACATATTATGCAGGGTTTTCCAATCATTTTTTTGTTTTGTCTTAAGAACCATTTGTCTTCAGAGCTAAGTTTAGTACTATTTTTTTCTAAAAAAAACATTATACATATCTTTTCAGCCTTTGTTTGATAAAACAAATATTCTGATATTATATGCAATAATTGGTCCATGTGTTTTATAAAGATTGTTTATGGATATGACGTTTTGGGGACCTTTTGTATAAGATTTTATTGATGAAATTACCCCATTATATGTAAGAAAGTTTAACTTAATTTTATAAATATTTTGGAATTGCTGAAAAGTCATTAGTTTACCTTCATCATCTAATAGATAATGTATAAAAAAGATCCCTTTATCTGCCCTGTCTATATAGAAAATAGATGTTGTTCCTATTTTAATATTTTCATTATGCCAGAGCGTGTCTGATAGAAACTCTTCTTCATTTTTAGTATACATTTATTTTGTAAATCTGTCCAAGCTTTAAAGTCCTCTTTCCTAAAAGGGTTTTTACATCTTTTTGTTGGGCCTACATATACTAGGTTGTGAATACTAATTTGTTCAGTACTTTCTAATAGCTTATTTCCTTTTGTGTTGTTTTTTAACAACCGTCTAATCCATGTTAATTTCAACCCTTTAATATATTGTCAATATCTAGCATTTTCAGCCCTTCTAGTTTATAGTTAATATTTCTTTTTTTTATCTTGTCAGGTTTGTTTTCCCAAATAAATGAATAGATTTTATCAATTAGCTGTTTTAAAACCTTTTTGCATGGTGCTTGTAATGTTAAAATCAGATGGTTTAATTTTGAAATAATTAGTGTCTTGATGATTGTTATTTTTCCAACTGGTGTAAATGTTTGTTTAGACCAAATTTTTAATACATTTTCAAATTCTTTTATTTTTGGACCATAGTTCAACAATTTCATTTCAAGCAAATTGTCAGAAAAGTTTATTTCTAGTAATGTAAACCTCCCGGAACCCATTCCAATCCTCATTTTACACACATCTTGACTATATTTCTTTTTGCCTATCCACACCACCTTTGTTTTGTCCAGGTTCATATGGAGACCAGACATTTCAGCATATTTTGGCAGTAAGCGAAGAGATGGATCTAGAGATTTGGGAGTACCGACCAGTATTATTGATTTGTCATCTGCGTAAAGGGAGATTATTTATTCTGTTATCTCAATTCTAATTCCTTTAATTTCTTTTTTCTTTCTGATTAAAATTCCTAGAATTTCAGCACATGAAAGAAAAATGTAAGCTGATGAAGGATATCCTTGTCTACAGCCTCTTTGGATCTCAAAGAAATCTGACAGAAAACAATTTTGAGATACTGATGAACTTATATTTGTGTAAAAGTAATCCAATGTTTATAGAGGGTTCAAAAATGAAAAAGTCTAATACATCATCACTGAATTTCCATGATACAAAATCAAAAGCTTTTTCAAAATCTGTGAGAAGAAGAAGACCTGGCAAATCATGTACTTCTGTATAGAATAAAATATCATATATAAGACGAGTGTTTCCTCCAGTTACCGTTCAGAGAAAAAAAAAAAAAACAAGTGTCGATGTTACCCTCGGTAAGTGACAAATCCACCAGCAAAGGAACGTTAACATGCACAGTAGAAAATATTAAACAAAAGCTATATTACTAATATCAATTGTATTCGTACTTGTTACAAAATAAACTAAATCATCTGAAACCAACTTCATACAGGAGCACCCGAGGAAGTAAAAAAGATAAATAGCATTATCCTTTAACTTCACATTCCGTTTTTAGATGACGTCTTCACGCTGAATAATTCTAAGTTAAGTGACTATGTTGATCTCATTTATCTCATCGAGTTTAAAATACTGTGGATTCATTATTATTTGTTTGGTACTAATTTCATGGGTATACATGAACCACGAGTTTAAATGTTCAAAGAAGCATAAATTTCTTATAGGCTTGTACAAAACGTTGGAAAAAAACACAAAATCAAGTATCTACGAAAAACAATTGTTCTTCAATCCACGAAAGTTGGTCCCCTTAAAAACAAATGCATCCACAGTAAAGTATGTAACAGATATATGTAAGTGTACATAATATCTTGACTTACATCTATAAATTGACAATAATGGTCGGTTTAATACAAAACTTAACGACAAAAGGCTTTATTTCAACTTCACAATTGTGAACAACGTTCTATTTCTACATGTTCTATATAACTACATTCCAGCAGCGCATGCTTATAAAGTCAAAACAATACCCTATAGCTTGCGCTTCCTATTGTGATTTCCTGAATATATGGTGCTTACAATGAATTTATTGAACCAAGAGTACCAAGCGGTAAAGTTGAAGTCATCTCAATGAAAATTTCATGAATGCTATCACAATTTTGCTGACCGTTATGTATTACCTGTTTCGCCGATGACGGCCCATTTGTTCGAATTGTCGTAACCAACGTCCAGTCCTTTTGCCTCGAATGTTAAATTACCGATTGATACTTATCACCGAATGTGTACTTGCACGAGCAACACGACGGGTGCCACAATTGTAGTAGGATCTATTTACCCTTCCGGGGCACCTAAGATCACCGCCGTTTTTTGTGGGGTTTAATTGCTAGTTTTCCTTTGTCATGTTTTGTAGACTGTTTTGATTTCGTCCTTTTTTTTCATTTTTTACTCGTGGCGTTTTCAATTTTTTATTGACTTATGAGTTTGAATATCCCTTAGTTTTTCCGCCTTTCTGTCTCTCATGTATAAATGCTACGTAAATAAAACATACATGAGATCTAATGACTTATCCTATCGCATGAAGGGACTGAAAAGGCTACTATTTAGATCTTTATAAGTAATCCATACCGCAAATTAAAAGTATGAGTTTAGGTCTCATATGGATACTAATCAGATAAGTTATCAGTAAATAAAAGTCAAACATTTTTTTTTTCAGGCTATAGAAATTCTCTGTCCAACTATGAAATCAGATTGCACCAGTTTGCAAAATGCTGACCTAGATTATTCATTCCATGAAATCTATGTAGAGTTTGTCAAAAAAGAAAAGCACTTAGAAGAAATTACTGCTCAAGTTGAAACCCTGAATTTGGAAAGAAATAATATACAATGTAAGTTTTCAAAGTTCCAACAATTCAAAAAATAAACAAACAATCGACATATGTGACTTTCTATTCAAAAACAGATCTATCGGGATATATATATTATTATATAAAATAACCACGTTAAAAGTCCAAATGTTTCTTATCTGCAATTACTGACATATTTTGTCGAGCAGTGATGGTATGTACAGAGAAAGCTTTGCAAATTGTCTTTATATCATCTATTTCACAGATTACAACGGATATGTTCCAAATGTCGTTCCCTTTTTCCCTAGATTGGGACCTATCTAATTAGACCTATCAGGGTTTGTACTAACATGAGCAACACGACGGGTGCCACATGTGGAGCAGGATCTGCTTTCCCTTCCGGAGCACCTAAGATAAAACTCCAGTTTTTGGTGGGGTTCGTGTTTTTCAGTCTAAAGTTTTCTATGTTGTGTTTTGTGTACTGTTGTTTGTCTGCTTGTCTTTTTCTTTTTTTTAGCCATGGCGTTGTTAGTTTATTTTCAACTTAAGTGTTTGAATGTCCCTTTGGTATCCTTAGCCTCTTTTTTGTAACCTGTTCAGTCGTCCGAATTCTACAAGCATCATTACAAAGAATTAATTCGATCCTCCTGATTATTTGTAAGATTCACTCACGGAACACATTGTTAAGTACAATGTACTTTCGAATAATTGTAAACACGTAGGAAATGGACATCCATTACAGTTTTTGGTATTGCCCATGTCTTTTATCGCGTTATGGTCATCAATCCTATTGGTGTTTATATTTTATTTTAACATTATCTTTAAAAAAAATGTTAACTTTAAAATATATCGGTACTCACACTATCTCTAACATATTTTTCTGAAATTCTGCGTTGATAAATTTAGAAATTAATACTAAACGACATTAGATGAAATTGGTTAGTCTTTTTGAATTCTTTTTTTTTTGTTGCCATTAAGCCAATCAAGTATTCAGATATTTATACATCCTTGGCTTTCAATAATTTGTTGGTTTTTGTTGTTGTTTTTTTTTTTGTAATTTGAAACATATTTTATTAATTCATGTAATTATCACCTGTTTCATCAACCCTCAGTTGTCCAGGGAAGCAAGTAAGGGGACCCCGCATAATTTCAGTCTCATTTGTCGGGGAAAATCCAAATGAAGAAAAAAACTCCCATTATAAATAATTATCATGTATCTATATAAGTATCATCTATCTGTATATTTATACATCACGCCATATATAATCATTTGAACAGTATTAATTTAAGTTTTGTTGTTTGGCCGTTTCTGATGAAGGTAAATCCAGGAATGCACTTTTGACAAAATAAATAAAAGTTATACTATTTTACATGTTCTTAATTTATATTGTACTCTATCATTTTGTTCGTTTTGTTTGTTCCATTCTTGTTGGGACTTCAATAACAAAATTATTATGATAGTAGGTTTTACTCATGTTTCACCTGTCGTTTCATTTACGTGTTTGCGTTATTGGTCATTTTCAGGGATTGTAAAATAACCATTGGTCAACTAATTTGATGACAATGAATATTCCTTGTAGATAAAAAAAAATGAAGTTTTGGTGAATCACAAATCTCACCAAAATCGGGAATCATAGAAAAACACGAAAACAATTATAGTTTGTCATGTGTTCAACTATTATTTTGCATATGGAAAGTAAATTTATTATTAAGATCAGCCATTATTTATTGAATAATACATCTAATTTATTAAGTAATTCTTACATAAATATTGCAGCTATTCAAACCGAAGAAATATCTGAATGGAAACAGAAACTAGAGAAGTTCTATGTGACTAAAGCTGCGACCAGATTGATAAAAGTGGTTAAAGACAATCAATGCATTATTATTACAGGTATACCTGGATCTGGCAAATCTGCAATTGCTTATCATGTAGCCATACACATGCAAGAAACTGAAGGCTATACAATTTAACCTATTTGGTTACCATCCGAGATGATAAAAATGACAAATTCAAATGTTAAACAACTTTTTGTTTTTGATGATGTTTTCGGTAAATATTCTATGAATGAATTCAACCTTATCTGCTGGGAATCCACGACAAGACGTATTAAGATGTTATTGAAAAATAAAATCCTTAAAGTAATTATCACATGCAGATCCTATCTATATGACAACGTTAGAGACAGCTTATCTTCTCAATCATTTGAGCATTTTAACTTGCAGTCAGAAGATATAAATCTATCTTTAGCTGAAAGAAAAGAAATCAGCAAGCTGTATCTTACTGATGATGTGGTGGGCCAACTAAATGATGAAATCATAATGATGTACAGCTTTTTCCCTTTACTGTGTGTTATGTTTAAAGAGAATTTGATGGAGAATGTTGATTTTTTTCAAAACCCAAATCAGTTTATAAAAAACGAAATTGAAAACTTTAAGAGTAGACAGGACGTTTCGTTTTTAGCTCTAGCACTCTTGGTTTTATCTAATAACTCGATCGCGAAAGAAGGTCTCCAGATTGGAAAAGATAAATACGATAGTATGTTACAAAATTTATTTGATGAAATGGATACCAGAAAAACTCCATCTAAAACTTCAATTTTGTCAAATCTTCATAATCTAAAAAACATGTATCTAGCAGAAAAAGGTTCTATATTCTGTACAAAACACGATCAATTTTTTGACATTATTTCTCATACTGTAGGAACATTTATCATTCACTGTATTTTAAAACATGGTGATTCGGCTTTCATAAGTAGTAGATGTCAATTAACTTCTCTCAATAAACAGCATGATGACTGTACCATTATGATTACAGATGAATTAGAAACAATGTATTTCGAGTGTATATTGGAAGACATGGAAAACGGACATAACTGGGAAGTTTTTGCTAACATTCAAATGAAATTTAAAAAATATAGACATTTGTTAATTCTATACTTAGAGAAGTCCCGAAAGAAATTGCCTTCATCAAGAGATGGTTGCACATCTGCATTACATGTAACTGCAGCAAAAGGTTATTATGATATTTCAAAGTATTTACTCGGAAAAAATAGAAAACAAATAAGTTCGCTTGATGATGAAAACAGGTCTTCATTACATCATGCTTCTATGAATGGGCATCATGAAATAGCACATTTATTACTTTCCTATGGTGCTAAAGTTAATCAAATTGACAAAAATGAATATTCCCCTCTGCATTTTAGTTGTCACTTCGAATACTTAGAAGTCACTAAAGTATTGTTAAAAAAACATGCCAAGGTAAACAAATGTGCCAACGATGGTTGGTATCCTCTGCACATGGCAGCATCTGATGGAAATACTGACATCATAAAACTTTTAATAAAGCATAAAGCAAAATTGAACCAGCAAATGAGTGATGGAATGACACCATTATATTTAGCTTGTAATTTTGGTCATTGTAACGTAGTGAAGTTATTACTTGATAACAAGGCTGATGTGAACAAATGTGAAAACAATGGATGTCACCATTACTTGTAGCTTGTGAGCAGAATGACATAAATTTAGTAAAATTATTAGTCAGGTATAGTGCGAAAGTTAATAAATGTGATAAGAATGAATGCATGACATTACATAAGGCTTGTCTGAAAGGAAATGAAGACATGGTCAAAGTATTATGCAAATTCGGCGCTTTAACAAATCAGAGCAGCAATAATGGCTTTTCCCCTCTCCATTTTGCTTGTGATATAGGACACACTAAAATTACCGAGATATTAATACAAACGGGTGTAGCAATTGATAAAGTTCACGAAAGTGGACAAACCCCATTACAGTGTGCATGTGATAACATGCATAATGAAATAGCTAAATTATTACTTGACAGTGGTGCAGTTGAAAACAGCAGTGATACACATGGACGAACTTCACTACATAGTGCAGCTGAAGATGGAAATACAGATCTCATTAAACTTTTGATCGATCATAATGCAGATGTGAACCTTAGTATGAATGGCGGAATGACACCAGTTTATCTAGCGTGTGATTATGGTCATTTAGATGCCGTGAAAATGTTGTTAAGTTATAACGCTGACATAAACAAATGTGAGGTTAACGGATGGAGTCCATTACATGTATCTTCTCATGGAAACTTTAAGGAAATAGTTGCATATCTGTGTGAAAAAAGTTATGCAGTGGTAAACATTTCAAATAAAGAAGGTCGTACCCCATTATATATTGCCTGCGAAATGGCGAATGAAGAAATAGTAGACTTATTATTGAAACACGATCATTCTTTTAATATGTGTGATAAAATGGGTATCTCTCCGCTTCAGTTAGTGTGTACCAAAGGCTATACAATTATAGCAAAACTTTTAATAAATAAAGGTGCAGCAGTTAATGACGAATTTGAAACTGGAAAAGCGACATAACTTAAAGCCTGTAAAACAGGCATAAGGAAATAGTTAAATTATTACTTGAAAATGATGCAGCAGTTAATAGCAACGATGAGTATGGTAGTACTTCACTACACATTGCCGCTGAAGATGGCAATACAGATCTTATTAAAATATTGATTGAACATGATGCAGATGTAAACTTTCAAACGAATAATGGAATGACACCTTTATATATAGCTTGCCATAAAAATCATTTAGAAGCAGTTAAACTGCTGTTACGTTATAAAGCTGACATAAACAAATGTAAGAAAAATGGATGGAGTCCTTTACATGTTGCTTCTTATGACAACCATTAGGAAGTGGTGGCATATCTATGTGATCACAGTGATACATTAGTTGACCTTTCACATAAAAAAGCTGCATCGCCATTACACCTTGCTTGTCAAGAAGGTAATGAAAACATTGTAACATTATTATTGAAACATGGTGTTTCTATTGATTATTGCATTGAAAATGAATTTACCCCGTTTCATTTAGCTTGTTTATATGGTAATAAAAATATTGCAGAAATATTAATTAAAGCGGGCGCAGAAGTTAATGAAGTTAACGAAACTGGAAACTCGCCATTACTTTAAGCTTGTAACTATAGGCATAATGAAAAAGCTAATGTTTTACTCGAAAATAGTGCAGACGTCAACGATCATGATGAAGATGGTCGAACTTCACTATTCAGTGCCGCTGAAAACGGAAATATAGTTCATATTAAAATTCTTATAGAACATGATGCAGATGTAAACTTTCAAAAAATAATGGAATGACACCGATGTATATAGCATGTGAGAATAATCATTCAGAAGCATTTAAAACGCTGCTACGTTATAAAGCTGACATAAACAAATGTGAGAAAACTGGATGGAGTCCATTACATGTTGCTTCCCATGCCAACCATAAGGAGATAGTGGCATATCTATGTGATCACAGTACTGCTGTTGTGTACATCTCTAATAGGGAGGGTGCAATGCTATTGCATCTTCCTGGTTTAGAAGGTAATGAAGACATAGTAAAATTATCATTAAAACGCGGTGCTTCCATCAATCATTGTGACAAAGAGAGCTTCTCTCCGTTTCACGAAGCGTGTTCCGAAGGTAATAGCAGTATAGTAGAACTGTTAATGATAGAGAATGCATCAGTAAATCGCCCAGACAGGAATGGGAGAACGCCTTTATATATAGCCTGTCAAAACAAATGTAAAGATGTAGTAGAATTATTACTGAAACATAGAGCGAAAATAAACAACGTAGCTCAAGTTGAATATGAAGAAGGTTGGACACCTCTGTATGTTTCAGCGTCATCCGGGGATACGGGTATTACTGAATTGTTATTACAAAAAAATGCAACTGTAAATGTAAAAGATCGGAATGGACATACTCCTTTATACTACGCTACTAAAAAAAAATCCGATGACATTATTGAGCTTCTTGTTAGCCATGGTGCCATTTTAAGCTACAGTGATGTTACAAATCCCTCTTTAAGCACAGTACCAAAAAGACGAGAACCAAAAAGATGAAAACGCTGTGTAATTCAATGAGCGCTTGAACATAATAGAGACTACAAAGAACTTATGTATATTTATACCTTTATGTGTTTAATATATATATTAATTCATTACTATTGTATTGCTAAGTTTTGTTCACATGTCCTCAATAAGGAAGTGGAACCTATGGGATAAATTTAAGTTTAAATCTGAGCAACTATTTTAGACTAAAATGTTTTGTGGCTCCAAATATTTTTTTTCTAATACAATACATTTTATAATTGCAGCTGATTCAATGTTTTTAATGAGCTGTGAACTTATATACTCAAAGACACATAATTAGTATTACTCTGTATAAATAGTTTAATTACTCTTGCAAAAGACAAGCGAACGATACCAAAGAGACATTCGAACTCTACAGTTTAAGATAAACTGACAACGCAATGGACAAAAAAAAAAGACAAACAGACAAACAACATTACACAAAACACAACATACAAAACTAAAGATTGAGCAACACCAACACTACTAAAAATTGGGATGATCTCAGGCGCTCCGGCAGGGGAAGCAGATCCTGCTCCACATGTGACACCCTTCGTGTTGCTTCTGTAAGTGCAAAGGTTGTTATAAGTCTAATTCGGTAGGTCAAATTCTTGGAAAGGGGGACGGTATTGTATTTACAACAATTGGAACATATCCGTCGTCATCTGTGAAACAGATAACGTATAAGGCCCGAGAACACAGTTATTTCGTATTGTTTTTCTTTAAGGCAAAAAAAGGAAATTAAAAAAATCGCACCTGCTCTATCAAAAAAAGATTTTTACAGTGAAGTGTACTACTTTTGGGAAAAATAAAAATGATAGATAAATCTATCGGATCTAACTCCAAATATGGCCAATTTTAATTCAAGGGGGTCTGTAATTCAGTTTGACAGCTTCAGAAATACTAATTTCTTACCTTTTAACCTGGACCAAATCACTACTTAACTTTAAAAAAAAAATGCCCTAAATTTTTCCACTTGTAATTTCATCCTGCTAATTGACCTGGCTAATTGTAATAAAACTTGGCAAAGTCTAAGATTGTTGAATTATATGACAGTTTACCGAGTTTCAGGACAATAGAATATATATATTTGTATTTCTGTCCATTTAAATTTGTGAAGTAATTTTGCCAGACATGATTCTTTTATATATATTTAAAGTACTTTAACTGGAAAGAAAAGTTACAAATAGCATACTACATGAGTATAAAAGGGACCTAGGTCATGTAAGACTTTATATGATTTACTGTCAATTTTGTCTGTAACACATATTTACATATTAAAATGCATACATAAGCTATAGAAAATAGATATTTGTTTCCTTTTGGTCATTTTTATGTTAAGGTGACATGATACAAGAAGTCTGAGTGCAATAGGACTCTTTTTGCAGACAGTTTAGTTTGATTCAACGTTTTTTTCACTTTTGAGTGGAAAACTTGCATGTAGTTTTAGTCTCAACAGGCATATATTTGAAACACTTACTTTTCTACAGAAGAAAAATAATGGGGTCATGTGGAAGGAGACAGATACAACAATCATTGTAAAGTGCTTTCTATACAGATCTAATGAACTCTTTATGATGGACTTCAACTTTTATGTACATAGCTCGTTACATTTTACTTCCTTCAAACAGGCCGTTAGACCAGGACCATAAATACAACACATTTTGCACATTTATTCTGTGGTCGTCTACTTTTCTCTAGATTCATGGGTCACTAATGATTATAGAAACTAGAATTAATTAAGCCTAGAAACACAAATATCAAAACAATAAAACTTGTCAGATAGAATGTCAGCTTGCACCTCCGGCATAAAAATGGAAATGACTTTAAAAATGCCTATTTCAGCCATATAATGCTAAAATTAGACATTTTTACAGCATTTCTATCAAAAAAGATGAAATTTTTTTACTTTCACCTAGTTTGACAAGTTGATACTCTCAAATCATCAAGGGAAGTTGCTATACATGCTATAGAACAGAATCTATATTTACTGAATTCATAACTTAAGCCCGAGAACACAGTTATTTCGTAGTGCGTTTCTTATAGACAAAAAATGCAAATTAGAAAAATCGCCCCTGCTCTATCCATTAAAGATTTTAACAGTGCAGTGTACTACTTTTGGGACAAATCATATCAGAATTGTAGAAAGATATCTCGGCTCTAACTCAAAATATGGACAACTTTAAGTAAAGGGGGTCAGTAATTCAGTTTGACAGCTTCAGACATATTATTATTTTTTTACCTTTTCAAACTTGACCAAATCACTACATTACCGTAAAATGCATGCCCCAAATTTTTCTACATGTAATTTCATTCCCCTACTTACTATTTTTTGCATAAAATATAGAGAAATAAATTTGGAAGGTGTACGAAAAAAATATTGCAAAAGTAATACAGGGGCTCTATTTGTAGACAAGTAAAATCGAAGGTCGATTACTGTGTCCCCCGACCATAACAGTCTACCAACTTGTGATGGCAGCCGTAAAATTACAAAGGGATGATTTTAACGTTACCACCTGGAACTATTGGTTAAATAGCCTCCTTGTGAGCAGCTACCCTCTATCAAGGAAATTACAAGCCCGGGAATATCGTATCAACTGGGAGATATAAAATCTGTATACAGGCGCTGCTGGAGTGTTCCTACATAGAAATGTAAAGTTCTCAATTGGTAAGCTGAAATCATTTCTTTTGTCGTAAAATTTTGTTTTCAACCTTCCCTCAATGTCAATTTTTAGATGTAAGTCAAGATATGAGGCAGACTGAACTGTAGCCATGGTATCTGATATATCCTTTATCTCAAGTTCAATGGGATAGATGCGTCCAAAATAGTCACCAAATGTTGAATTACTTAGTGAGAGAACATCGTCTATATAACGGAAGATGATAATCACCAATCGATTTGTAAATAAGGTACAAGTGTTATACAAACAGAAAATCCCAAAATCCAATCAAAAGTGAATTAATTCGGTCCTTAAACATCTTAAGGTAATAAATTTGCTACGATTATTAAAACGTATTGTATATTATAAAGTAGTGTTATTAAATTGAACTGTTTTACCTAAGCGGTTGCTTTGATTATGTTAACCCTTTATCTAATTAACGCGTCGTAAAGAAGATTGCAGAGACATTGCCTACATTCCTTTGTGAAAACGTGGTTGTATGATACGATGCCATCGTGACATCCTTCAGCATTTTTTAAATTTTGCTTTTGAGAATCATGATCAAGTGCACAACAGTAACGTGTTCGTCGGAACAAATTGATTTGGTTTAAATGGTCGGAAACAGCAAAAGTATAACGTGCTACACAAGTACAAATGTTCATTAGACATGAAGGATGTACTTATTATGTGAAATTAAAAACAACCTAGAATTTTAAATTGATACTATAAGTTAGAAGAGCATCAGTAATGGGACAAAGTAAGCTAAAAATATCGATAGGCGATGAAGCTCCTTTTCAAGATATTTATTTTTTTTTAATGGCGGGAAAAGGCGGACTCGGACTTTTACCTTATATTTGCATTGGTATCATTTTAGTCTCAAATCGAAAAAAAAAAACAATTCTAGAATCTGCTTAAATTTTGGAAAATGACTTTTTATGAGCTATATGAAAGACAAATGGGTGTTATGTGGCAAAATATTTTACAGTGTATCGTAGGAAAAAAACAAGGAGTCTGAACATTTGACAAAAATTCCTAAACCTGACTTCTGTACATCCTTAAGAGATATGCTGTGAACAGACTAGTAAACCATAGTCTGTCTGTCCGTTCGACACTAACATTTCAAACTATAACTATATAAACTATCTGGTAATTAACACAACATAAAAATTAATTGAAGAAAGCGTCCTTTCGAGTTTAAAATGTTGCAGTTTACCACCAAGTCAGGAATATGATAGTTGTTATCCATTCGTTTGATGTGTTTGAGCTTTTGATTTTGCCATTTACTTAGGGACTTTCCGTTTAGAATTTTTCTTGATGTTCGTGGTTTTTGTTATTTTACTTTTCTCAAAAAGAGTCAACCACTAGATTTAAAGCATTTTTTTTTTACATATCGCGCCCTAATTCCATTATGCCTTGATTGTTTGCCTCAAAATTAAAAAGTATTGCAGGAATTGATAAAATAAGCTTTCTTGCGATTTTTTTCTTTTGTTCTAAATTGTCGTCCTATACATTTGTTTTTACGAGACTTAAATTGACAGATTAAAGAATATCTGTATGTTTTACATGTTCTACCATATTATAT